TGTCTCAGAAGTAAAGATGGGCAGAGGTTCACCAATCTGTGAAAAGCTGCGTCTAAAAATTGTTGAACAATTTCAGAATAATGTTCCTCAATGTAAAATTGCAAAGACTTTAATTATATCATCATCTACAGTACATAATATCATTAAAGATTTAGAGAATCTGGAGAAATGTCTGTGTGCAAGGGACAAGGCTGACATGCAATATTGGATGCCCGTTAAAACCAGACATGATTCCAATGTCTTATATGCATATAAACCAATAAAAACACTTAAAGTTTTTTTTTTTTTTTTAAACAGACATGATTCTGTGATGGATATAATTGCATGGGCTCAAGAATACTTCCACAAATCACTGTCTGTTAACACAGTTAACACAGCCATCCAAAAATGCAAGTTAAAGCTCTAACATGCAAAGAAGAAGCCATATCTGAACATGATCCAGACACGCCGCTATCTTCTTTGGGCCAAAGGTAATTTAAAATGGTCTATTGCAAAGTGGAAAACTGTTCTGTGGTCAGACAAATCGAAATTTTACTTTTTTTGGCAACCATGGGTGCCGCTTCCTCAGGACTACAGGAAAAGTTAAGGTACTCCTAAGACCCAAAAGCGAAGTATAGCCAAGATAAAGTTCGGCTTTACTTCTCTATTAATAAAACAATGCTCTTTGTGAAAAAAATAAGCACTTGAAGCTAGTCAAATGCAGGTTAACTGCAGTTCAAATGAACTATCAATAAATTCTGAATTATGATCTCAGAAGCAGATGTGCATGTATTATCTAAACATGTTAACATGTTTAATGAAAACTTTTTTTTTTTTTTAATTATTATATTTTCCTTGGGAAAACCTAATAATAAAAAATAAATGATGTATGGTTTTTTTAAGAACAGTTTTTATTAGAATCATTACTGAAGTCTAAACGACATTGATTTCTTATTGATTATTTATCTATGTTCAAATCCAACTTCAAAGCAATATTTCCAAGAAATGTTACTAAATGTTACATATAAATTATGAAGCAATATGGACCATATCCAAACAGAACCATAAAAAGGCAGATGTTTTGTATATACGCGCTCGTCTGATTATGTCTGTGAAGGTTTTCATTCATCCAGGTCTTGGTATATCTGTAAAAATTAAATCAAAACAACTGGACTTGGTGTATTTTTCTTGAAAACATTTTGCTGGTCATCTGACTAGCTTTCTCAATTCAGGGACTCAATTCATCTGATTAGATCTAATGCTCGCTCCTGCACAAGTGGTCAGAGAGTATAGCTGGCTAGGATAGCTTCACCTAGACCAGCTCCCACTCTCTTAAGGAAGGCATACCTACTGGCAGTTGGTTGCCCCAGGACTTATTATGCAATGCTATATTCTCTGGCCAGGTAGCACAATAGGCTAAGCAATGGTAGAAAACAAATACCTGTGGTTTAGGAAAATACAGGTATCCACAAAGTGTGGCAGGACAGGTACTTTGCATGGGGAGCAACCAGAGAAACATAGCAAAAGGCTGGTCCAGGTAGAAGGCAGAGATGTGGTCAGGGAACAGGCAAGGGTTAGTGTAGATGGCAAGCAAGATACGTGGTCAGTTAACAGGCCAGAGTCAGATAACAGACAGGTTAACAGGCAGGTCAGATTTCAGGCACATTAATGTCAGCTAGTGACTCATGTAGAGAAACCTATCATAAGCGCTGGGCGCAGGGCCATTAAGGTTTAAATCAGGTGCCAGAGGACACAGGGTCAGTGGAAGGCGAGGAGCGAGTAGAATTCTACAAGCTTTGCTAAGCAGCAGTACGAAGCAAAGTTGCCAGGCAACAGATCGCCAAGGCCTCTGAGACCAATATGGAGCAAGAAGGAAGAGCCCAAGATGCACCCCCTAGAGTCAGGAGATGTGCTGAAAGTCAGGATAATGAGGAAAGGACCAAACAAGGTAAGTCAAGTCTCTTGGTGGACTGAAACATGTTAGCGATCTTTGTAGCTGCTTTTATGTCTTTTCAATAAAGAGACGCCATTAAGAGGATTCCTACGAGTGCCAGCTCATTTCCACTTCAGTTTGTCGATTGGGCCTGGCAGGGACTCACGCTGAATACTGCCATCCCCATGAAGGTATTGGGTCTGAGAAGGTGAAGCAGCTTTTTTCTTACATTGCAAATAAGGTAAATACTTACTTATTTGGAATCATACATAATATGCAGATTTAATATTGCATGTGTGAAAAAGCCTGTAAACCTGAAATGCTTCTGTAGTGCTCACCCCCAAAGGAGCCGTAGTATCTCTCAGGTTCTTTTGCACCACACCAGGATAAATCACCCAGACTGGATCCACAGCACACCAACTCACCTTGTGGGTTTCTTTTATAGAAAATTTACTGAATATGCTATGGTCTAATATTACAAACAACAAGTAGCTATAGCCAGTAAATCAGAACTAAATGCACATGTAACATAACACATTTAAGTATTCAGACTTCCTCTCAGCTGCGGCTGTCTAATCTCAACCATAGGTAGTACTAGGCTGACTAGAAATAACTATGTCAGATTATAGCAAACAGAAATGATGAAGTCTCACTCCAAATATACCCAGGTCTCTAACCTACTGGTCAGTGGTAGTTTACTTGGCTAGCGTTGGGGCTCATGAACCTATGTGCAAAGATAATTTAAGTTCAGTAACACAATGGCTGATGGCCTCTCACCATTCCTGCAGTAGATGAACCGGGATGACGATTCCCTCGTTGGCCAGCGAAAGGGGCACCCGCCTCTCCTCTCCACTGTTCCATAAACTTTTTCAGAGGTCTGTTTGTAGAAGCAGCAGATCTCTCTCCCTTTAACGGCAGCCACGTGGTCACGGCAGTGCCCGTTCATTTGGAGAAGCAGCGGTGTGTCTCTATGATACAGTGGGCGAATCTTCCACAGCAGCAGAATTAGTGTTTGTTGTCCAGAAGATCGGGCAGTCTCCTCAGCAATGCTCACAGCTATCTCTCAGCCTTTACAGCGGTGATCACTACCAGGTTTCTTTCTTTCCCTGGGGTGATAAATCAGACAGTCCTCAGCAGCAAGTCCTGTCACTTCCAGTGTCTTAGCCGTTCTGCCCAAACTCCCAGAGAGGGTTGAGTCCACACCTCCCCTAGGTTGTAAAAGCCTCTTGGGAACTGTAGTTTTTTCTGTGTAAGATAACATTGTCTCTCAACACTACAAGCCCCATAAATATATCTGCCATACAAGTCCTGATGGTAGTGTTTAACTCTTTTCATAAAAGAACTCACTAGCAATGTAGCAACTGTGCAGGGGCTACACTTCCTTAATGTCTTCACTATTAATGGAGAATTCCACATTTTGTATAGCACATAAGCACAAGAGCTACTACATATTTTGTTGCATAATTAAACATGGCCATAGTAATGACAGCCTAAAACAGAGAAGACCACCTGCATGCTTTTTGTTTGATAAACAGAAAAACTAGAAAATACTAGAAAAATAATAAAACTTTAAATTAGTAAATTTAGTCCTGGTGAAAACATTAATGGTAGCTCATCCAGAATACAAATGACAGTGGATTTTTAATTATTTGCTTATTTCTATACATAGTAGCTCTCATTGCAATTTTTGGGGGTTCTTAAATACTCATATACATTAAATTGTGTATGCTTATAGAAAGTAAAGTAAATATTTACTCAGTTGTGGGCACCGGGTGTGCTATACACAGAAAAAGCAAACTTAAATTGAAGTACAAGGGTGTGTATGCCCTGTCATGCTGCCTCATTGAAATAAAATTAAATCCTTAGAGGCTAGAGTTGAAAAAAAGAATATGTATAAACAAACACATATATTGAATCCTACATTTTGGGGTAACATACACTTTAACAGGGTCATTCACAAAAGGGTGAAGGGTTTGGAGAAGACAGGAGAAGTGAACAATCTAGGACGAAATAACTTATTTGGAAACATTCTCCAATTCAGCTCATTTTCCAGTTCAGCTATGTTGTCGTAGATTGTTCACTTCTCCTGCCTTCTCCAAACTCTTCACCCTTTTGTGAATAACCCTGAAAGTAATGACAAAAGTATTGCCGAACAAATAGGCCCATGGTGGAAAGATAAAAATACCTCTGGTTTATAGGGAGGTGTATAGATGCTTGGAAATGAACCTAACTTGATTCAGAGAATCTACACAATGTGTAAATACTGTATGTAAGTGCATGAACAAAATGACAGGGTTAATAACCCTTCTCTAAAAAAAAGTTTACGCTTTAGATACACTTTAAGGATGTTTATTAGTGACAACTCACAGTTGTCCATCTGCAAGAATATTGAGTAGCAAGTTATAGTATATAGTATAATATCCCCCATTATCCCAAGTTGTGCTATTTCAGATAAGCTACTAGACTTTTGCATACTATATATAAATAATATGAAGTATTCTTTAAATAAACCAATAATTTATGTTTGCTTACCTTTCAAGGTATTATTTTAATGCATGAATGCATAAATATGCATGCATTGAAAACATGAGCATCTTTGCAATTTTAGCCATGGTTAAATGCCAACATTTATATTTCAGCTGTTCATGTGTTTTTTTTAGGACCTCGTGTATCGGTGTATGTATGTATGTATGTATGTATGTATAGGTCACATCTGTTAAAACATTTAAATAAAACTATAATACCAACCAATTATAATATACTATTGGAGCATAACTACTGGCTACATAAAGATCATATATTCATGCCAGACATGATGCTCATCAATAATTCAGTGAAACGCTACAAAGCCTGCATTATTTGATATAACCTGAACTTTTTTTGGTCTTATTATTCCCAACTGAACACTGCGAAATGCTCGAAACATGCCACACAAATTTATAGGGCATCAGGGTCACATAAACCATTGGCTAGAAACTGTAACAGGATTAAAGATGAGTGATTACTCAAAAATGATGTATAACTACTTCAATAAAAAGTATTCAGTCCCCAGAGAGCAAGTTGCTTGTTCTCTGGATTGTTTCCTTACCGTTATAATACTTAGCAATTCTTTTCGGTCAATCGATCCATTTCCATCTGCATCATATAGTTTAAAATACCACTTTAATTTCTGATCAATTTTTCCTCGTAAAACCAAGTTGATTGCAGCTATAAATTCCAAAAAGTCAATAAATCCATCCTGGGAATTAACAAAAAGTACATAGTAAACAAAAGTAGTATTAAAAATTTATTTTGAAAGGTTAACGTTACATAGCTAGTTTTAAAAAAAGACTAATTGATTGAGATTAACCAAAAAAAAACAATCACACAATTTGCAAGCTAAAAACTAGACGTGCATTTTTTTTCGTCAATGGAATCAAATTTTTATGCTGTTTCTGATTCGGAACGAGCCTCCGAATCCGAAACCTCATATTGAAACTGCAGAACACATGGCGGCCATATTAGAGGCTGAGCAGTCTCTACAAAAAATGTAATTGTATGGTCATTGCGCTCTTGTGCTCCCATTGCATTTTTTTTACAGGCATTCTCCTCCTGTCTCTTAGAGCAGCATACCACACACCCCACCCACCACATTCAGCATCCTTTTGAGAGCGTTATTTATTGTTCCTTGTTTCAGGGGAGTGGGTGGAGGAGACCAGGCCCCAGCAGCCGCAGGTAAGAGGAGTTGGGAGGAGATACAGGGAAAGGGACCCCGACAACCAGCCCACCTGAGGCCCTGCAGAGCCCACCATAGAGAGTATCAGATGGGCTGTGCAGGATCTATGGTGTGCTCTGCAGGGTCACTCTCAGGTGGGCTCTGCGGGGTCTCAGGTTAGTCCAGAGTCCATTGCGTTACTAAGCCCTGAGTCCATTGCGTTACTAAGCCCTGAGTCCATTGCGTTACTAAGCCCAGAGTCCATTGCGTTACTAAGCCCAGAGTCCAGTGCGTTACTAAGCCCAGAGTCCAGTGCGTTACTAAGCCCAGAGTCCAGTGCGTTACTAAGCCTACATATACCTATATACAGTACATGCTGTACATATTGTACAGTGTATGTAGAGAAAAGGCAGGTTTTATTATCTAAGACAATAGCCACAAATATTTTTCAGTGACGGAGCACTGGAACAGACCACAAACTTGGAGACAGAAATAAGGATTTACCCTGCAGCAAACATTAGAAATGTATTAGCTCAGGTTCAGCTGCACAAACATTGCGTGCATTGGAATAGGTTGCAAACTTGTAGACACAATGCAAGAATTATCCTGAAGCAGTTATTGTAAAATATGCATTTGCCCATTTCCCCCAAAAGTGGAATTTTAGTTACAAGTGGAGTCTACAGGACTGAGCTATGTAAAGGCTTCTTATATTTCTTGAGGAATTCAGCCCATCTTTATTTCACTGTACTACAATGGTACTGTTCCTGCCATTCTCCTTTTTTTTCTGTTGCATTATCCTTAGCTCCAAAAAATGCAACCAGGAGAGTGGGACCCCTTCATAATTACACCTCCAAGTGTCTAAATACGTAAACTGTAAAAATGTAATCACCAGAGATTTAAATACTGTAGGTATACAAACTATTAGGTGATGTGACTCTCTAGTATACACAAAAATACTGAAGTATTGCTTTTGAGTGGAAGAATCTAATACAGTTATCTACAACATACATAGATCCAGTGGCGTAACCAGAGTTATGGGCGCCCGGGGCAGAATTTTTTTTTCGCCCCCCCCCCATATTATATCCCCCCTCTCCACCACAAGCAGGCTCCCGCCCTCTCCACCACCAGCAGGCTCCGTGCCTTAAACGGAGCTTCAGCTTTTACAAATAGGCTGTCTGACAGACGTTTGCGGTACAAGGCGTTTGCCTAGGGCCGCCCCCCAGGAAAGTGCCGCCCTAGGCAAACGCCTTGTTTGCCTCGTGGTAAATACGCCCCTGATGCCATCATTGTCCCTGTACATCCCCCCCC